TAAACCCTAAACCCAAACCTTAAGGACAGATATGGAGTCATGGCGGATGCCTCCTCGGCCCTAGAGGCACTTTCTTGGCTCTTCTCCTCGGTAGGCCTTTGGGGCATTTCGAATTTTCCCCTTGTTGGGCCTAACAGGATCTTACTTACCAAAGTGCCCCTTGGCCTGAAGGGCCAACTTAGTCTTAGGCCTGAGGGGTTTAGGGGTTAGGGGGTTTTGGCGTAGGGATCGAGCCCAGATGCACAAACGGCTTAGAGTGCTCTTTGTCATTCTAAAATGATGAACCTTAGGCACTGCTTAAATAACGAAAATATTTGTCCGTGCTTCTAGTTTGAGAACTTTCAATCACTGAGCAGGCTGATCTTAAAGACAAGGCAGAGAATAATTTGACTGAGCCCGTTCGAAATGAGTATCGAGGACATGCTCTTGGATTTGCTGTGCTTATGTAGAAAAAGCTTCCAGTTGCACATCAGGCTTCAGAGGTCGAGTCACGGCTGAGTTTCTTGAGCATCTACTGTAGGCTTTAGGGTTCATGGGTTAAGGTTCAGGAAAAAGGGTTCAGGGTACACACCATGGCATGTCAAACCCCTTTGCAACCCCATAGCGAGTTTAGCAGCGTGTCCACTAAAATAGAAGCCCAAAATGCTCGCATTGTTGCCTGGGGTTCCTTATTAAAGCTATACTATACAGGAGCCCAAAAACCTATTCGAATTGTTTTAGTCTCTTACCTGACATAGAAGGAGGCATCTCATACTGAGACATTACATCCCGTAGTCCAGAATTCAATTACAATAATCGCGGAGAGCACAACCAAAAGGCTGAGGAAGTGCCATAGCAACAGAGTGCCATATCAGTTCTACTGGTACTGAGTTGCTGTGTCTGCCTATGAGGGTGCTGAGGCTGCGCGAACATGACGGAAGACTACTGCTACCATCACCACCAACTGCAACAACTGCTGCTGCTGCTGCCTTGACCCGAGTCCGTACTTTGAGCCCAAAACCGGCATTGCTGGCATTCCTTAGAACCTGATACACAGCAGGCATTCGCTCCTGTCGCAGGAAGGTCCAGTAGTGACTGCGATCCATGGGATCTACGCAGCAGCTCAGTTGGAGGGGGTTAAGGGGTTGCGGGTTGGGGGTCTAGGTTGAGGCTTCGATAGCACAAGGAAATCAGGGGTGTGGCGGTTTTGGTTTGGGCTGAGCTTTGGGGGTTTATGCTTGTGGGCTCGGGGTTGAGGTTTTGAAGTTTTGCATCTACGACACAACAGGGAAGATGTATGCCATGCGGTACGGTGTTTCAGTAGCACTGCATGCTTGCAGCACCGACTTCTAGGAACAAGCCAGCGGTTCGAGAGTTGAGGTGTTGGATTGTGACAGTTCGGAGTACTTTGTAGCCAGGGTGATCCCGGATGGATGGGTTTCGTGGAAAGAAGTGAGAGTTTCAGAAAATAGGGGACCCTGATATAGGACCCTACATCGTAACTAGTAGGATCCTTACTATAAAGACCCCAAAATAGGGTACCCTAGTTTTCTGAAACTACCGAGTCGAGAAGGTGTGCAGACTCTCAGATTCCGACCCATGTGTGAGCCAAAGCGCCATGTTCTAGAGCTGCACGCATCTCGTCACTACGACAACTAGCAGGGTATCTGGGGGTTTCCGAAAATAGGGGACCCTAATATACAGTACCCTAAATAATAGGATCCTTATTATAAGGACCCCAAAAATAAGGTACCCTAATTTTTGGAAACTCCCATCTGTGAAGCATCAACATGGCAAAAAACTGAGAACTTTGACTTGATGCCCGCGCTTGGACTATACAAGCGCCTGAAGGGTTCCCTGATCAATCCGAGACGGATGTTTTCGTCGTTTTCCGATTGATGTTTATACACCCATGTCATTCAAACCTTACTGACCCCTGAACCTTTGCCCGGACGCTTTCACAGCAAGTGCAGGCCGAAACCAGTAGGAGTCGGAGAAATCTAAGGTGGTGTTCTTGATCGAGCTGCTGATGCGGATGGGTGCTCAAGGCAGATCTCTCCTCCCATTCTATCATATCCAAGGGCATGCAACCCTTCGAGGCCCTGCAAACACAGCTTCATCGCGTTTCCGGTTCCGGAAGACGCCAACATCTCTTGAGAATATTCCTCAAACTATGAAGGGACCCTGGAGCCCTTTCCCTAAACCCAAGGAACCCTTCCTGGACCCCTTAAAAGAGCCCTAAATTTTGAACCCTTGCTGGACCCCTTAAGAAGAGCCCGTTTTTTGGGCCAGGTTGGAATGTCTTCCAGGCCCCAGGCACCACAGAGGAAATGATGAAAATATAGGGGCCTAAATAATTACCTACAAAAATTTATGGGGTTCCTTATTAAAACTATAGTACAATATACCCCAAAGCCCTATTTTAAGTATTGAGGCCCCTACATTAACAAACAGTGACTCACTCAAGGTCTCCAGTCTACGATTCAAGTTTTAACAAATCATCACACCTACCTTGTTACCCCTGCTTCCGTGATGGTGATACATATACACTTATATGTACACATACAGAAACATACACATATACATGTACAGAAACCGACATACATACAGACCTATATACAGACATACATGAATTGGTGCATGCATGCATACACATGGTAAGTTGCCACCGCATATGTTGTCTCAGGCAGAGATATAACACACAGGAAGCGCCGTTTCGGTTGGGTTGCCGAATATCGCTTTTCATTTCAAGTTTTTCTATACGTAGCATGCATGTATGTACGTATGTATGTATGTATGTACGTATCTATGTATGCATGCATGTATGTATGTCTGCATGCATGTATACATACACATTCTGCCGGATACCCATAGCGTAAGGTCATGTAACTTGAAATGAGTTTCCATGCATTGTGCATGGATGCATGTGTGTGTGTGTGTGTCGATGCAGCGTCGTACCACGAGAAAACAGAATGCAATCGAAGGTCAGTCATTCTTTTGCTCCTACGATCGGGCCAACCTTTTCTGGAACTACCTCGATGCCGTGCCGTGTCGCATTCATAGGGCCACCAAAAAAGCACATATGCAAAACTTAGGATAGGGATATCCGATATAAACCCCCGTATAATGAAGCCCAATAACGTGGGGGATATTTCATAAAGTGCTTATGATTGCGGCCTTTCAGGGTCCCCAAATTCAAGTTTGTAGGCTCGGGCTTTATAGGGTTTGTGTATTCGGTCCGTCCCCACACGCTACTGCTCAGCCAAAGCCCCTAAACGACCGAATGTGAGTGGTGGTGTGCCTCAAAAACCCTAGTCTAACCATTGAGGCCCCAACACAATTTCGAAACCTTCTACAGAAAACCGTTATGAACCCCATAACGCCCTACACAAACATTTAAACTTAAACCCCAATTCCAGCAATCAAGGCCCCTACGTTATCATGTTGGCGAAGTCCTGCCCAGTGGATCCGGTCCTGCAAATATAACCACAGTGCAAGATAACCCAAGGCCCTATTCTAACTGTTCAGGTTCACCATGAATCCCCGATTCCAGGGCCAAAGCAAGGTTGAAGCATTGATCGCTAAGTTGGAAGTCTTGTGCGGCCGTGGTTTCGTATGGTTTGTCCAGGCGATGCAGGGTCTCCATTTTCTACGAGATCTTTTCTTCGTTGGCTTACGATTCTGAGTATAGCTTAGGGTTCATTGCCTGAGGTTTTGCAGACAGGTTTCAGGGACTCTGGCTTTGTTTGCCACGGCTGATGACTGTGGTCCCACTTCAGGAAAAACGGAACCCGACACCGGAAACCTTAAGACCCTAAAACCCTGAAGCCCCAAACCCTGAGCCCAACACCACGAACAAGTTTGGAAACTCCACGGAAGCCCTTGTCGCATCTTGTCGCTGTATGTTTGCTGTGCACGGGGCTTCGAAGCTTTACTAGCTGCGAGATGCAAGATTGAGCTTTGGCTGTGCTCACGCTGTAAGGCCCCACCCGGAAGCAACATAAGACTACTGACTGAGTATTGCCCATGATGTCTTTTCTCACAAGGCAAGACTCCACTTGAAAGCAGCATAATTGTATCCAGTATTATCTATTATGACCCTGACTGATGCGCGATTGCGGCAGTCCAGCCCTCGTATAAGAGAGGCGGCGTTACGACGTCGCTTTGGTGTGTTTGGATGTCCTTATGCGTCCCTCCGGTTTAGACTTCCTTGCTGTATAAATTATACCATTGTCTGCCCCCAAAGCCCGTTTCTGATCTTTGGGTGGCAAAATAAAAGACTTTTCGCTCATTATTGGGGACCCCCACAACCCCCACAACAATCCGGTGGCGCAGAACAGGAACTCAAACTTTTCATTATGGGGCCCTTCCCCGCCCTTATTAGTTACACGCATTATTGACCACCATGTATTTGTCTATGTCGCCCACAGACTTCCTGTCTCTCGGAAAGGTTGCAAGGCCCAGCGCTAAAGCATCCGAAGTTTGACGGTAAGCCGTCTTCGACTGGACTGACTAGACTCTTCTGTTCAGTGCCCAGGTGCTTGTTGGAGTTTCGATAGTGGAGTCGATCCTGGTGCTGGTGCTGGTTGAAGATACGGCCTGCCACCTTCTATTTTTGGGGGGGTTTAGGATTTGCACGTTGCTCAAGAGTTTAGGGTTTGCGGCCCCGGGAACTATTGCTTTGCCCTAGGAGGAACAGCTCAAGAAGCTTAACAACAAGGCTCACAACTCAGACTATGAATGTCCCACCCGGACCGTTAATTGCGGAATAGAGTTTGAATCATATTATGAAGCACCTTCTAATTTGAGGCATGCTTCTTCATTACGCGGTATTGGGCTTTTCGGGGAAGCGATGAAGCACTCAAGGCATTGTATCTTTCCTGTCTGTTCCCGACGTGAATAAGTCGGAAACCTTTGATTCGCCGCCGTCGTGAGAATTGAACGTAGGGACGTTGGGTTCAGGGTTTAGTAGGGTTTCATGCAAAAGGGTTTAGGCAAGCAAAGGCACTTAGTGGAAGGAATGTTGCAGTAGGCTTGCTTCGCGATCATGGAGGACAAAGCTCACATGCTGAATTTTGGATGCATGAGACGTCCTACCAAACGTTGAACTCCACAGTGCAAAACAGTTTGTTGCCTTCGGAATTTCGGAATTGGGCAGCTGCTTGCCTTGTTCAAGGCGATTCGAATTGCCTAGGCCATAAAGCTGCTATTGAAGGGGGGAGGTCGGGGGCTCTTTTGAGAACAAGAGCCCTCCACCCCGTTTTGATGGATTCCGATTCCTAAACCCTAAACCCTAAACCCTAAAGACTCTTAAAGCCCTATAAGATCCTTGACCCCGGAAAAGCCAAGCTCTGAGCCCTGACGACGTAAACCGTGAGCCGTAGAGTAGGCTTTTTTTTGGCCATTCACCCCTGTTGGCGTGGAAACCCTGAGAGAAATCGTCATAGTAGCCCTCATCGTACTTATAAGGTTTTGTAGAGTGCCTCGAGAGAAAGAGGAGCCCAGAACCCTGGCATCCTGCCACAGGAGCTTGGCATGTCGAACAAGCTGCGTACCATGCGGATTGTGCGCCTTACTCGGTTGGTGCGGCTGCTCCGTGCGATTCGATTCTTTGCAGGCCGGTAGTTTGGAGGAGCTACAAACTATGGGGCCGTACCAGAAGCCCTCTATGGCCTATGGGGATTGATTCGGAATTGATCCTTAAATTATTTTGGTGTTCTTTTGATCCCTCAGGCAATTCGGATTTCAAAGTGCCAGAGACGATCGAATAACTTCGGGCAAGAGAAATCATTAATAATGTCACTAATTACACTCGGCCTCTGGAAACACGGCAGCGTGGGTGCATTATTGCTCATCATGGTTCTTGGACTTATGGCTTCGGGCTTAAGCGTTTAGGAAGAGGCGGATGTGGCTCTCGATCTGAACATTTGTCTTGGTTCGCTTCACACGGTTGTGTCTCTCCAATCTCTCCACTTTGCTCTCCGTTCCAATCCTCGCTCCATCGTTCCACTCTATTCGAAAGGCTTGAAGGGAGGCTTGCTACTGGTAAATGCGGACCTGGAGTTTTAGACCAGTGTCAGGCAGCCTCTTGTGTGTCGCCATGCGCAGGCCTGCGGACGTTGATCTACTCCATCTTTTATACCTTGAAGCTTGGGCAATCTTATGCTAGCAGCACAGAGCGGTGTGGCTAAACGAGTCACGTCGCGAGACCCCATGGATTCAAGGGCAATCACGCTGCTGATCATGTCGATGGCAAGCAGTCGGCTATCAGCCCTCATTTGTAAGCCGCAGGCCGCATTAGTGCTGGTTGCATTGCGAGATTTTGTGCAACAAGAGCCACAACATAGGGGTCCGACTTATTGGTACTAGTATTCTTCGGGCTTCCCCCATGTAATGTGACATGATGGATCCCAAAACCTCATTCAAATTAGCACGGCCCCTAAATGAGTTGAAATAGACGTACCAATGCCCAACGGCCAGCGACCACCCGGGCTCTCAATCTCAAGGCCCAGTCTTGCCAAAGCCAAGGAAAGCTCTGGCGTGGTCAATTATCCTGCTTCTTCTGATGATGTACGTGCGGCTTTGGTCAGAACTGGCTTTTTGTGCGGTTGCCGGGTCCGGACGGGGATTCACGCGGACTTGGGCTTTAGAGTCTATAGGGGCACCTGGACCTGGGAACCTACCTAGTCCTGCTCTGGCCGTGTGATGCGTCCACTTGGTTGCGCAAGCTTGGTCCGTCATCATGCAATGCGAGCTTACAGCAGCACGAGTCTTTCTGAATAAGCCATGATGAATCGCCTGTTTCTCTTACGTGGCCCAAAGCATCAAAGCTGAATTGTGTGAAGGCCTTGCCGATCCTGTTTTCGAACCGCTTGACGAAGTCTTCGCCTGCTTAACACACATTCCATGGTCCTGCAACGCCGGCCTGGTTCGAGCCAATCTGCTGTAAGCTGCCATAGCTACAACTCTTCTCGAGACGTTTCAAGCAGGAGAAGAATCGGTTTCGGATCCAGCATTGCCCAGGACTTAATGGTAGAGTAGGTAACCTTGATCCATTGGTGCATTATACTCCCGATGTTCCACTATGATGTTCGACAAGCAAGAATCTCACATGCTCGGAAGTGTCCACGGTCAGATATGCTCCCGTCCGAGCCACAAGAGGTTTGGGGTTGATTGTCAGGCACAGGGCTGGAGCTCGGGCGGAGGCAATGTAGTGCCATGTAGCGCTCTAAATAATTACCGATACCGTCTGGGGTGTTCCTTGTCATAATTATAGTATAGTGGGCGCCACAAGCCAAATTCTAATTATCAAGGCCCCTGTATTATTGCGTGTTGGTTTGCTTTATGAGTTGCAGGACCTCGCAGAAGTTGCCCTGAAGACGAATTGACGGAGCGACGCTTTAAGTTGGTACCCGTTCGTTCCTGATTCGCCGTATTCTCAGGTTCTTGCAGCCCCTAAACCTTAAAACCTACAACAAACCCTAATAAATCATATCTTAAAAACCCTGAAAGCCTTTAAACCCTTCAAACCCCAAGCCTGTGAAAACCACTGCAAGCAGCAATGCAACAGCACATTCGGATCCGAGGTTGGGCATTTTGCTGACGGATGCGACGCTGGCCCACGTGATCAGATATGAGAACTCAACCATGACACCTTGGGCAGGGCTGACAATTTGACGGAAGTTTGGGATCTATATAGAGTGGTGGGTCCGCATGCTTCCCATGCACCTAGGGTTGTCATTGCAAGCAGGTCAGGCACTTGACATCATTGTATGGGCCTCTAACTTTGTTGCCCCACCAGCCCTCCCATTTTCAATGGGGAAGTCGAGCGAATGAGGTAATAAATTATGCGGAGCAGCGGTCCTGCCTCGGCCAATTCTCCCGCATGATGCAACAGCCACTATTCACTCCCTAACCCCCTAGGTACCCAGTATATAGGGTACTAGAGCCCCTAGGGCCCTATATAGTAGGTACCTGGGGAGTAGGGACTGTACGAGCGACAGAATCTACACTTCTCGATTGCGCCAATACAAGCCACAGCCAAAATATGCGAAACAACCCTGTGGCTTACGACTGGAGTTCGAGACAAGTCAGGACCCTGAACCCTGTGTGAGATTCGAATCCCAAAGAAGGGACTGCCAGTCTCCTCATGTCTAGTTCTCTGGTCCAAACCCTTCGCGCTTGTTGGATAAAGTCGAGTGGGCTAAAGTTGAAGATTTACGGCCCTTCTTC